GGTTCAGAGGCCCCGGGGCCACAGTGCCATAGGCTCTTCCCAAACACCGCCCCTTCTGCGTAACCACAGAAAGGGGCGTGGCTGCAAGGCTTCTGTACAGAAACCTGCAGCAACAAAGCTATGGCGGCGGGAGGTGACGAATCACGTCACAGAGGGAACTCTTGGACAGAGACTTGCCACCTCAGCATTCTTCTCCTTGTCTCCATCGCTCTGGGCCTTTGCACGCCACGTGATCTACCAAGCAGAGACAACTGTCCAGCCCCAGCCTCCTGGGTCAGACATGGCAGCCCCAGGGGTGCCCTTAGCGAGTGGCGGAGCTGAAAGGGCCGAAATTCACCAAGGCCTTTATCTGGGTGCACGTCTAACTTGGTGTGGAGGATGCCGTCAGCTCCAACACGGCAGGGACATCACCCAGGACGACAGGGACACTGAAGCAGCAACAGCCAGCAGGGACACACCAACAAGGGCACAGGCAGCTGCAAGGTAATGGACATCTTCCAAGCTCCCAGGGAGGGGAGGGACTGCAGGTTCCAGGGCTCCAGTTCATTTACCACTGGTCTGAAGGCAGCCGCGTGCCTGACAACCGGCACCTGATTTCAAGACGTCCCTGTCAACACCCAGACCAGGGGGAGGTAAGCCTGGAAGGCTTCCTGGAAGAGGGGAAAGAGGAAAAACCTCTGTGTTTGGGTAAGCTTCAACAGAAGGCTCAGTGCAGGCTTTAGCTGCTCCAGAAGATGGTCAACCGTCTATTTCGTAAAGTGTCCCATGAGAACGGCCCGGGGGGAGCTTGTCAGAAATGCAGGTCCCCAGGCAGCCTCTGCAGCCCCAGACATACCAAAGCAGAGGCGGAGGGGGACGGGTGGGGCAGCCAGCTAAGCACACTCATCGGCGCCGGGTTCTTCAAGCAATTCGTTCTCACGCAAGCCATGAGCTGAGGGCGAACTGTGGAGACGGATGGGACGACAGCCAGGCTCCCAGCAGCAAGGCCCACAGGGAGCCCCCGAGGAGAGGGGCGGGCAGGCAGGTGTAGACAGAAGTGCGGTTCCTGCTTGGCTGACTCACGACACCCCCAAGCCCTCTCCCCGACGCTTCCTGTTACTCTGGCGCTGGCGGGTCACAGAGGATCCCTGTGCCGACGCAGGGGGCACAGAGCGAACGCAGGAGTGCTTTGGGCTGCTGCGAAGGGGGGACAGGGAGGGGGGGGGGGTGCCTCATAGAGGAAAAGTAAACCCCAGTCCCGACAGCAGCGGAAGCTCCACCCGGACAACAGACTTCTGTTCACTGAGATTTTTTTTTTTTTTTTTTTGACAGGCAGAGTGGACAGTGAGAGAGAGAGAGACAGAGAGAAAGGTTTGCCGTTGGTTCACCCCCCCAATGGCCGCCGCGGCCAGCGCGCCGTGCTGATCTAAAGCCAGGAGCCAGGTGCGGGTACAGGGCCCAAGCACTTGGGCCATCCTCCACTGCACTCCTGGGCCACAGCAGAGAGCTGGCCTGGAAGAGGAGCAACTGGGACAGAATCCGGCGCCCCGACAGGGACTAGAACCTGGTGTGCTGGCGCCGCAGGCGGAGGATTAGCCTATTGAGCCGCGGCGCCGGCCCTGTTCATTGAGATTTAAGTCACCTCAACATTCGCTCTGTCCCAAACATCACCAACACTCCACACAGGGGAAGACAGCAACACTGGAAGCAGACAGGCCAAGCCATGGGCACGCCACCGGCTCCTGGGGTCGCCCTGTCGGGAGAGGCAGGAGAAGGGCCCCTTTCTTGGCCTGAACAACCACACACTCTTCACTCTGCTTTCTATTCAGAGAACCTGCAAGCAACCACACTGGCTGCCTCCAAACACCCACTCAGGCTGTCCTGCTGCATCCCACGAGAAAAACAAAATCCCCTACAGAAGAGGGGCGTCGCTTGCCGGCCAAGCCCAAGATGACCCGCCGATGCCCTGGCTTCCTTCTGGGTTAAGAACAGCAACTCCTGTGGCTCTGGATCTGTGCAGGTGACCAGGAAACGCAGAATGTGCTGGGTCTGCACGCTGAGCACGCCCCACACACCTGCTGCTCCCGCAGGTGAGTCACCCACGCAGGCACGGCCCAGCTGCCGGCTCTCACGCACACCGGATGTCATCCATCTAACCCCAGAAGACATGTCGGGACAGACAGGCTAATCCCCCAAGTTCTACTCTACAACGCATTCCCGGTGGAGCTTCGGGAAGCAGGGAGGGAGGGGACAAAGAGAAGGCTCTCCCACTTACACTCAGGGCTGCTCGAAGACCCCAGGGGGCCCGCTCTGGCTCTTGCTGCTCTTGGTAGGGACTAGGGATGGGGGTGGTGAGTTAATCTGGAAGAAGGTGCAAGGGATGTCTTGGATTCAAACCCACTCCAGAAAAAAAGACTGTCTGCTTTGCCCCCTCGCTGCTCCCACTGTGGCGCCGTGAGATCTGAGATTAGATATTGGACCAGAAAAAGACAGCATGAGAACAAGTGGAGCGATCAGAATTCGGCCCACAGGTTAGTTAGAAGCATAGCACCAGTACTAATGTGCTGCACCTGGCCGGTGCACCGAGGCCGTGTCCGCCGCTGACGTCTGGGAAAGCTGGGACACAGGGACACAGGGAAACCCAGGTACCACTTTTATAACTTCCTTACGAACCTAGATTTTTACCAAAATCATCAAACAATTTCCTAAAAGTACAGCCTTTTTAATCTTAACCTGAGTATGGCTAAAACCCATTTTTGTGTTTTTTTCCATTTTTATTTATTTCAAAAGCAGAGTAAGAGCAACAGACATGGATCTCCCATTGGCCAGTTCAATCCCCCAAATGTCTACACAAGCCAGAGGTGGGTCACGCCAAAGCCAGGGGCTGGGACTCCAACCCGGGTGGCAAGGCTCCAAGAGCTTGAGCCACCCCCTCTGCCACCCACGGTGTGCATTAACAGGAAGCTGGAGCCGGGAGCGAGGCAGGGACTCGAACCCAGAACCTGAACACAGCATGCAGGCACCTTAACCGCTCAGCCAAATACCCACCCCCGCTAAAACAATTGGCAGCACAGTTGAAGGCTCATTTTAAACTACTCTCCTAACAGTGCTGATCAAGTCTTTGATGCAGGGGAAAGCAGAAGGAAACAAAACACAGCATTCAATGCGGCCGCCTGCCCTGCGCCTTCCAAGTCTCCTCTCCAAGAGTGGTATTAATCTGACCGGGAAGTGCTGTGGCGTCCTGCAAAACCCACGGACGTACTCCTCGCTCCTTCAGCGTGACTCTGCCCTAGAGCAAAGACAGCCATGTCGGGATTTTCACCGAGCCCGCGCTGCAAACCGTGGACAGAAACCTCAAGTGCCTAGGATGCTCCCCAGTGCACACAGGCTACCAGTGTGGCAATACCTCAGCGTCCAACAATAGAGGAATTGTCCGGCAGATTATGATTCAATGCCTGCCGCGAACACAGGATTGCACAGTCATTACATGAGGGAAGCATTCAAATAAAACGGGGGGAGGCGGGGAGCGGGGTGCGGGGAGCCGTGCAGAGAGCAAAGTCTACAGCATGTGCTGCAGACCCGTGGCTGGAGCGTGCAGCCCAGGGCTCCAGGGGGCCGAACCGCCCAGGTTTTGGGAAGCACGCAGCCCAATAGCACATTTCTCAGAACATGCCCCCCGTGTTCAGCGACCCAAGACTTCACATCTCTCAGGAGGTCACCGTATGTCAAACTGTCGGCATTACTATAGAACCGGATTTTTTTTTTTAACTTTTTTGTAGCTTTTTTTTTTTTAATAAAATAAAGAGAACATGGGTTACTTTAAAAAATCATGCAGGGTGGAGGGGTGCTGTGCCATGGGTCACACAGGCCACCAGGATAGTTCACCATTCCTGTCCCAGGGGAGGGCTGAGCAGGGGGGAGGGGGGGTGCACAGGGCACCTGGCTGCACCAATCTGAGCAGTTCCAGGGACCGGGGTGGGGTGAGAAGCAGCTGGGGGAGGGTAACACAACAAATATCACCTCCACTCCCCCTCTGCCCCCACCCCCTCTGCTGCCAGGCTCAATCTCCTAAGCAGGTGCTCCCTGGAAGGGTCCAGCACCCTGAGCGCTGGCTAAGGGAGACCCCTGCCCAGCGGCTAGGAGTGTGCGGGGGGAGGGGGGGGGGGGGCGGTGCTGGCAGACAGGTTCCCAAAGTGAACCTAGGAGCAGCCACAGGGTTGGGGGGCAGGGGCAGCGGCGGGGCCGGCATTCCCAGGAGTTAGGTGCTGGCGCTGGGCAGAAGGGAAGGCCCCTGGGGCCTTGTCCATCAGGGGCGGAGTGGCTCAGTCATTCATTCATTCAATAAACATCTCCTCCACACAGCCTACCCAGTGACAGGCACCACGCGGCCCCGAACCGGGCATTCACGGGGGAACGGCGAGAGGAGGAAGCTGTGGGCACAGGACCTTTCCCTCAGGACCTGAGCCCCTCTCCACGGCGACCAGGAAACCTCCTCCCTCCACAGCGGCGCGCAGAGAGGACGGGAGGGCGGTGGGTGCACGCCCCGGACCACCTCCCACCGCCGGCCAAACACAGCCCTGGCAGCGAAGCCGCTCGCCCAAGCCCCTGGCCCCCTAGCTCCCATCGGCAGCGCCGCCCGCCCCCCAGCGCTGCGTCCCCTGCGCACTCGGGGTCGCCAAAGGCGCCTGGCACTCGCGGAGGCCAGAGTAACGGGCCCCCGAGGGGCAGCGCGCGGGCGGCCCGGGACGCGGGGCGCTCCCCCCGGCCGAGGCACGGTCCCGGGGCGCGGGAGACTGAAAGACGACGGACCGGGACGTCCAGGACCCCAGCGGATCCGCTCCGCCTGGAGGCAGAGGGATGGCTGCAAAGACCTCGGAGATGTCAATTGCAGGCACAAAAATTGCCACCCAGAACCCCGACGCCTAAGGAAAGCAACATGGAGAGGCAAACAACAGAACAAAACAAAAAAACAAGTCCGGTCAAAAAGCGCAGCCCCCTCCACAAACCGCCACGACTCTTACCTGCAGAGAGCGCCCCGGCGGCTGCAGGCACGGAGCCGCACGGACCGGCGCGAGGACGCGGGTCTCCTCCTCCCGGCTCCTGGGCACCAAGTAATCCACGTTATGGGTCCGGAGCCCCCTACCCGTTCTCCACGTTCCACCCGAGGTCGAGGCGCCGCCGCCGCCGCGGCCTCTGCGCCCCGCATCCCCGGCGGCCGCGCGCAGTGCCCGGGCGGGGGTCCCCAGGAGGCGAGCGCGCCTCGCCCGGACGCGGCTCCCACAAGAAGTCCTCCATGCTGAGCGCCAAGAGCGAGCCGAAGGCAAATCCTCTCCCCGCCTCGGGCTGGCGGGGCCCGGGCGGCTGAGAACGGGCGAGGAGTGGCGGGGCTGGGGTCCGGCCGCGTCCCCCCGGAGCCCCGGCCAGCCCGCGCGCCCGCGCCGCCTCCGCGCTCTGCCGGCCGCAGGGCCATTCGGCCCTTATAGAGCGGGGCGGCGCGGGGCGGCGCGGGGCGGGCCGAGCGCCGAGGGGCGGGCGAGGCCGAGCGGCTTCCTGGGACTTGTAGTTCGGGGTGCCCAGCCACGAACCAATGCAAAACCGCTCCGGGGATCCCTGCAGCAGCCGCCTCCCGCCTTGCGCCCCCGGGGTGAAAACGAGGCTGAGGTCCCAGTCGCGTGGCCACTAAGGTCAGGTCTATCAGGACTTTGTGCGAAAGGTGCGTCCCACCGGCCCTTGCCTGCGCCCCACCCACCCACCCTGGGAGGAGGAACCCAGGAAAGTTGCCATTCGCACCTGGCCACTCATCCTCTGTGTGGATGTTGAAACAGGAGTTAACTACAGTGTGTGCCTGGGATTCTCCATCCGACACAGACAGCGGTGGAATCTGCTTCTGGCCCACCTTGGGTGGCCTGAGCACCCCAGCTTTCACGTGGGCGGCTGACCTCCCAAGTGTGTATGTATGTATTGAGAGTCCCCATCCCCTGGTTCACCCCCGCCCCTACAGATGCGCACAACAGCTGGGGCGGAGCCAGGCCCAAAGCAGGAACAACATCCGGGCCTCCCACGTGGTTGGCAGGGACCCAGGTACTTGAGCCGCCACCTGCTGCCCCAAAAGGTGATTAAGGTGTGAAATCAGCAGAAAGCAGCGATCGATTGGTGCAGAGCTGGGCCTGGAACCCAGGCACTCTGATGTGGGATGGAAGCCTCACAGTGGCCGTCCTCACCTCTGTGCCAAACGCCCGCCTGTATCCAGGCTTCGGCTTGGGCAGCTGTCTTTTCATTATTGACACCCATCACTGGGCGCCTGCAGACCCTGGGGACGTCTCGGGCAGGCCTCTTCACTGAGTGACAGTCAAGTGGGAGGAGGGAGCAGCTTTGTGACTCCCCCCCTCCCCTGCCTGGGGTCACCAGCCGAGACCCTGCAGTGGGCTGGCAGCTGAGCTGGGTCTGGAAGGAGTGGACTGGGGGTGGGCAACCAAAGAGGCACAACCCCGTAAGAAGGGCAGGCCGAGGGCCATCAGCCTGGAGGACTGGTTGCCTGGGATCGCCCAGGAGGAGTGGGGGCCTTGGGTTACTTCCCCCACTGCGCACCCGCTCTGACTGCCCTAAAAGCCACATATTAGGAGGCTGAGGACAACAGGACTTTGTTGTCTGGCCGTTTTGGAGGCCTAGAGTCTGAATTCAACAGGGCAGCAGGGCTGGTTCCTTCTGAGGACCATGAGGGAGCATCTGCCCCTTGCTTCTCCAGCCGCTGGTGCCTGCCAGCTTCCCTTAGCTCCTAGATGCATCACCCCAGTCCTCACCGTCGCACGATCTTCTTCTGCGTCTTCACACGCAGCCTTGCCTCCGCCGTGTCTCCGTCCACCTGGCGTTCTACCAGTTCGTTGGGTTAGGGGCTCTCGATCAGTTACACCTGCAATGAGCCAATTGCCAACAAGGTTGCATTCTAAGCTGCTAGGATTTGGGGAAGCGTGGGATGGAACTCAACCCACACAGACCTTGCTGCCTGGCAACACCCATTGTGATTAACCAGTCTTTTCTTTTTTAAAGAAAATATTTATTTATTTATTTATTTGAAAGGCATAGTTACAGACAGAGAGAGAGAGTCTTCTATCTGCTGGTTCACTCCTCAAACAGCCGCAACAGCAGGGGCTGTTCCAGACCGAAGCCAGGAGCCAGGTGCTTTTTCCAGGGCCTCACCCATGGGTGCAGGGGCCCAAGCACTTGGGACATCTTCCGCTGCTTTCCCAGGCGCCTGAGCAGGGAGCTGGATAGGAAGAGGAGCAGCCGAGTCTCAAACCGGTGCCCATATGGGATGCCGGCACTGCAGTTGGAGGCTTAACCTGCCACAGCACCGACCCCTAACCAGTCTTGTTGTTGAACACAAGCACAGATAAGTGAGATGGACCACCGAACCACTGAGGCTGTGATGGGAGGGGAGGTACCAAGAGGGCTGGCCAAGGGCACCTGTTTCCATAAAAGCACAACAGGGTGGTCATCAGTGTTGAAAGTGCCGGGAGGCATTGGGCATGTCCCCGAGGAAAGGGGAGTGGGTCCAGGGAGGAGAGAAGGTGAGGAGGGGGTTCCTGGGTTTCCCTAAGCACAGTCATGGCTCTCCCAGCTGCTTTCCCCCATTCTGGTCGCAAGCCCCGGAATCCTGGCTCCTGGAGAGAGTATTCCCGTTCTATAGTCACAATTACCACCTCCCCTAGGTGAAAAACTGGGAGCAAGGTGACCGCCAAAGACAGAAACACCTGAGCTCCCTACATCTTCCCCCTTGGAATGCCGGGAGAAGCCTTCGTGTCACTGCTGGGAACGGTCCGCCTGCTCCCTGTCTTTCCCAGAGCGAACGGCTGCACAGCCAGACAAGGGAAGGAACATCTGTTGCCAACTTTCTCCTGCATTTCACTTCATCCGCTTCCCAGTCTCCCTAAATTCAGCTACAGCAAACATTAGCTACCGGAATGAGTAGAACAACACACAGCAAAATCGAACGAGTTGTTATGTCTCCTTATCGCTGTGAGACTGATTTTCTGCAGCAGATTTGGAATTACATCCCTTCCTTGCTCAGTAAACCTCCAGAGACATCCGCACGGGCCATGTCTAGCTTCGCATAGATACACAGACCCAAGTGTTGTAGATGGGCGCGTGTAATGGGTTAATTTGCACTTGCATCTCCTGGCTCTGTCCTGAGACAAGCAATTACATCCCAGCACTCCACCTCCACGCCCCTTCTGCCGGATTTGTTTCTAATATTGCGCAAGAAAGGAAGCAGAGCTACTCAGAGACACGGCTGAATCTGGGGCAGGGGCAGGAGACAGACAAGACGAACCTGGGGCATCTGGTGGTGCGGAGGGTAGGAAGATGTAAAACCCAGAGACGTGAGCCCACCGCGTGTGCACACACACACACACACACACACCTCACAGTGATGCGAGTGTGACAGAGGCATCCAGAAACCAGCTGAGGGGCTCCCAGGGCCCAACGCTGGGGAATGATTTGAGCAATTATAAGGCATTGCCTTATAATGTAAATATAGAATCCAAATGCACCAGTACACACGGATGTACGGGTGGAATAAAGACACATGTAAGTGTGCAGAAGAACCCCAGGTAATGTGTGTGGATACACGGCCCTGGAGAAGGGGGCGTAAGTCCCCCACTTCCACGGTGTGGGCTGCACACAGGGGCTTCCTCCCCGACTGCTGTGTGGACCAGGTAGGAAGCAGAAACTTCCCACCAACTGATCACGAAGCAAGCCTCACACCAGTCCCAACTGAGGAAGGTTCCGCTAAACCCCTGGGCGGTACCTCGAACTGCCAAGGTCCTCCGGAAGCAAGGAGGGTCTGAGACGCTGTCACAGCCCAGAGGAGCCCGAGGAGTCACTAAATGCGTGGCTGTGGCTGGAATCCTGGGCCCAGAAAAGGGACACCAGGGAAGCAGGAAGGAATTCTGAAAGGCGTGCGGACTTTGGCGAATACTGACGCATCCGTATGGATTCACACTTGTTACAGGTGTGCAGTACTCGGAGGCTAACAGGAGGGACAGTGTGGGGTGACCTAGAGTCCCACCATCTTTGCAGCCATCCTGTAAATCTATCCTACAATTGAAATGTGACCTAAAAAGGTAGAAATTCATACACTTAATATAAACATATAAATATACATGTAAAACAGCAGAAACACCTGCTCCCTCGTGCATCCAGTTTTCACCTTTTGGCGGCAGGTGCATGGCTCTCCGTTCTGAACCCTAGTCATTTTCTCTGCCTCTGCAACCATTATTTATTCATCCTAATGACTTTTTTTATTTTTTATTTATTTAGTTTTTGACAGGCAGATTTAAACAGTGAGAGAGAGAGAGAGAGAGACAGAGAGAAAGGTCTTCCTTCCATTGATTCACCCCCCAAATGGCCGCACGGCCGGCGCTACGCCGATCCGAAGCCAGGAGCCAGGTGCTTCCTCCTGGTCTCCCATGCGGGTGCAGGGCCCAAGCACCTGGGCCATCCTCACCACCTTCCTGGGCCACAGCAGAGAGCTGGACTGGAAGAAGAACAACCGGGACAGAATCCGGCTCCCTGACCAGGACTAGAACCCGGGGTGCCAGCGCTGCAGGCAGAGGATTAGCCTAGTGAGCCATGGCGCTGGCCTCTAATGACTTTTTAAAAAGATGATTCTATGCATTTATTTGAAAGGTAGAGTGACAGAGAGAAAGACAGAAAGAGAGAGAGAGAGATCTTCCATCCACTGATACTCTGTCCAAATGGCCCCAACAGCTGGGGCTAGGCTGAAGCCAGGAGCCTGAAATTCCACCCACAAGGTGGTCTCCCACATGGAAGCATTGGGGCCATCCCCTGCCTTCTCGGGCACATTAGCAGGGAGCTGGCTCAGCAGCTGAGCACCCAGGACTCGAACCAGCGCTCACATGTGGGCAGCCAGCGTGACAAGCCACAGCTTGACCAGAAGCACCACAAGGCCGCCCCCTCTAACACCTTTCTCAGGTCTTAGTATTCAGTGGGTGAAATCTCACCCACTTTGTTTTTCCAAGAGTAGCTTGGCTACGTTTGGACTTCTGCGTTTCCATATTAAATTTAGAATTTGCATGTTCAATTTTTGGTTAAAAGAAAAATAAAAATGAAAATCGTGGAGGAGGAGAAACAGCTCCAGAAGCCCACACCCCGCACAGTGGCCAGCGCCCTCCTCCTTGTCTCCTTCTCCACGCCCCTGCCCCGTACTCCCCAGCAACCCCCTATGCTTCAGGACCCTTGAAATGTTGGCCGCTCTGAGCAGGCTTCAGCGGCTTCTGCAGTCCTTGCTGTGGCCCCTACCCATGTCCCCCTAAGTCTCTGCGGTGGGAGATTTGTCCTCAGCTTGTACCTGCCCTGCAGGGCCAGCTCGCCTGCCACCTTTTCCGGGAAACCCACTCTGCTGTCGAGCAGAACTCCTAAAAACCACGGGCCCTGTGGGTCCTGTCTACACTTAAGTTTC